AGCGAACCATTCTGCTTTTGGAATATTTTTTAAGTTATATTTATTTACTTTTTTGAATTTGTATTTATAGAAATATCCTTTATGAAAACAGCTACAAGATAAGTGATGTGATATTGAAATATTTATGAATACATCTGAATCATCTCATGCTATTATTATATTTTCAAATTACTACTTATTTTTATTTAATGTATTTTACTTTATCAAACTTCTTTAATCTCTCATGGTATATTCCGAATCATTCATTTGGTTCTAAATGATCAAAATCAAATAAATTTTGGTTTCAATTTGAAAATCTCTTAAAATTAGTTAAAAAAAACAATTTAACATGCTTATTTTTAAATTAATATACTGAACTTTTCAAATGACAAATCAATATCTCCAATAAGGATATTGAATTTATAAATGATTTCTAATTTATTAATGATTTCAAATCTAAATCTTTGGATTCTTTTATAACAGGAAATCTTTAGCTTCTTCTCTAAGGTTCAGGAATTTATTATTTATTTGCTGAAATTTAAGAATATGTCTTTAGTTTTTCTTCCTGGTTTTGATTCATAAAGTATACAGGAGTAAATGAAACTTATAGCTAATTAGATTGGTTAAAAGTTTGATCAATTTATATTTTTTTGTTATACATCTTCAAATAAATATTCATTTTACATTATTTTTAACTTATTCATAGTTTTCTTAAGAATGTCTAAAACTTTTTGTGATAAATAATTAAAATCAAAAAAACGAGTAGGTTGGCACAATAAGAACAATTAGAAATATCAAAAAGATCTTGTTCAGAAATAATCTTCTTATTCATCTATAAAATACATTATTGAAGAAATTAATACTGAAATCAAGTAAACTTCATTGATAATTATTGATTTATTTAATGAAGTTTACTTGATAGCTCATAGCTCCTAATATTATTTAATCGAATATTCTCTTTATTTCAAGTTTTAAGAAAATTAGGAATCTTAAATTTTTAACAATAGTTTATATCAATTTTTGTTTATTTCTTTATCTTACCAAAGATAATGGGATATCTTAGCAATAATTTATAGTGTATAAATTAAATTTATTTCACATTATTTAAGGGTAAATATTAACAAAAATTCTTATTCCAAATGACAAAAACTTAATTTAAATAACAGTTTTCCTGTAAAAATGAATTTACTACCAATACTTTTTCATATTCTATAAGACGACAATTCTATTCAAAATGAAATTTACCAATATAATTGTTGATATTACCATATTAATATCTGTAATTGATAAAAACCTCACAAATTCTCAATTTATTGTTCCAAACAAATAAAACATATAGTTTTTTGATTCTCAACTTAAAGTGAACTTAAAATTCCAAAGTTGTTTAATAGTATGACCTTATAAACAAAGGTGTAATTATACATCATCTAATTTAAATATATTCAAAGAAATGCATCATTTTAATTTTAATTTTGAATTTCGGTCTCCCAGGAAACATAAATTATATATGATATCTCTCAATTTTCTACTAAATTATTCTATTCATTATAGTCTACAAATTCTAGAGTTTGCCATTTATTATTATCATGATTATATTATTATATTCTCTACTTATCATATTCCTCTTACAAACTGAGTAATTAAGTTAAATTTTCTTGAATAGATTAATATAAATTCAAAATTAATTAGTACCCTTTCTAGATTTATATATTGGAACTTTAAGTAATTCGTCTTGTTAGTTATATAGCCCTTGATAACAGAAAAATGCTTTTAGATAGATTGAATAATTTAGATTTCCAAAGAAAATTTTTTTACTATATACCTAGTTTATTATATCTTTTAAACTTATTGTGAGTTATATAATTGATCTTCTAATTCTCTTAATAAATTAAAGACATATCATTGCACTAATTAACTTTTTGTATAATCTATTATTAGAGAAATTCAATTCTTCTTGGATTAAATAACTGTCACAATATTATTTCTCTATTATCATCAAAGATTTTTTAAGTTCTAATATTTAAGCCTTAAAAAGGAACTTTTTTTTTAAAATTATTTTATAATTCTTATTCTGATTTTACTTGAAATATCCAACATGATCATATATATCTAAGAGAATTTTTTAGAGAAATTAATATTCCTTTAATTTTTGGGTTTGCAAGTTTATTTTGTAAAAACTTTCAATATAAAGAATAGATAAAGTATATGAAAAACATCTTAACGTTAAATCCTTCGAAACTAATTGAATAAATTCGATGGTTTTTTATAATTCTTAAATTCATTCATATATCAATTAACTATTTTTATTAAGTCAATAATAAACTATAAATATAATCAAATAATAAAATTACTCCATTAGCAAAATAATTACAGAAACTTTATAATCTTTTAAGTATTTATCTTTTATTGAGTAATTACTGATTGAAAAGTTATTCGTTTCTAGAAATCTACTATTTCATATTTTATATTTCCAAGATGAATAGAGGTAGTCTATGATTATAAATTTAACATCAAGTTCATATAGACTTTTAATAGAAAGGAGAGTAGAAATGTGTTAGTCACTGAATTCTAATTATACATTGTAAAAATGGGTGAATGAGGAGGTTCTGGTTATTACCTTCAAATTGGACCTTTACTGAATAACTTATATCTTCCTTCAAATTGAGAAAAGTATGCACTAGAGGACAAGAACCCATAGATGATGATCATACTTATGTTCCACCTTACACATAAAAGATTATGTCAAAGAAAAGTGTTATCAAAATTCTTTTAATTAGAAGGATTAGTGTAATCTATTTTGTAATTAAATATTCGGAGACTTACTTACCCCATCGCATTATATTAATTATTTCAGTGGAATATCCCTAAAGTTGTTGGAACTTAGAGACTTAAGTATCATAAAGGAGAAGTGAAGGAAAAATTATACTACCTACTTTTAACTGAACACTTACTTGATGAGGAATCGAAGAATACAAACTTAAGTTGTGAAAGAAAATTATAAACTAATTATTTTTTGTTTTATTAGAAATAACCAGAAGATAAAATAGAATGAGAATTTTTTATTAAGTTGATTCATAACCTATCTATTACAGCCTCAGCTAATCCACTCTATTCATTTCAATTATAAGAGAAGAATAAATAAATAATGGAATACTTGTTCTATGATATCATAAAAGTTTAATAAAATCATTGAAATGGAAATTAATCATAAGAATAATAAGTTTAATAAACTAATTCAATACTTCAGTTATGGATAAATCAAAGCAATCCAATTTTTAATACTAATTTATTCCTATGATCAATAAAATTCTACTAAGTAAATTATATATTATCAATTTGTAAATTAAAAAAAAAGTATATCAACTCTAATGACCAAGAACAAAAATTAGTAAACGCAAATCTTTGATATGAATGATCACTGGAGAAAGTAAGACATTTTGACTGACATACCTCTCAATGAAGTTTCTAAAATAATTTCACAATGAGAGGTAGCTCAGCTCTTACACTTCATCGAATATGGTTTGAGCTATAATTTATTTTTGGTATTTTAGGATAAATCCTGGCTGGTTGGTGAACATCTATCTTGAAGAGCAGAAATATTTTATTTTAATTTTTTGATCATACATAATATTATCTTTTTATTTCCTTATTCTTGATTTATCTAGTCTTTTTAAGTTCTAATCTTAGGTTGGAATTGTTAAAAAATATCAAATGAAAATGAGATTATAAAAAAAGAATAAATAGCATTTAATAAATTTAGATCTGAATATTCATTTAATAGAGAGAGGTTGTTTTAGTTCTCATAACTTCTATGTATTAGCAAATATAATTAGAACCTCATTAAAAATTGGGATATTACTTGAATCAAATTTTCGGAACTTATCATGTTTTTTACAATTAAATTTGTCAAACTTATTTATCTTGTTGTATTATACATCTTATTATTTGAAATTATTATCGTTTTTATTTTTTAATCCATAAGTGTAACTATTATAAATCTTTAAGGGCCTCTGATTTTGTTCTATGCTTTTCTTAAGAAACTTTTGTGTACATTAAATTATAAATTTCATTAATTTTTTAGTCCACAAAGAAATAAAGTTCGCATCTTCTTGCTATCATAATTATATTAAAGTTTTATTAATTATAAACATAGCATGTAATAGACCTCCTTGAAATTCTTCAATATATAAAAGTTACTAATGATTTAGATTAGCCTATAAATAATTTAAGGTAATTTTAAGTATTCAATTTTTCTTGTTAATATTTATATTAAAATAATGATTGATTTTAGTATATTTTAATTTTTTATTTAAGTCATTCATAAATTATGAGATAATTGAAACACTAATGAATAATAATCTTGCATCACATTTAAAAATAGATAACTTTTTTTTTCGAATTCAATATTATATATCTATCTTAGTTCTTTTAGGATTTGAATTGGCTTTGATTTATTCATCATTTAATAGTTGTTATAATTAATAAGTAGTAAGAAATTAAAATATATGTAGAAATACAATGGCTTTGATCATGACTACATTTAAGTTCATACTCTTTCAAACAAGAGGACTAAAATATCTTATATAAGTGCTTCAATTTATCTAGGTAAACCTCAATTTTCTGAAAAAATTTGATTATTGTTTTTTACTGATTGAATTTTAATGGAATAAAAGTACTTTAGTATCACATCTTAAAATCTCAAGAGTATAACAGCAAAAGTTTTAGAAGGCATCTAAACTATTTTATATAGGAAATATAAATAATGAAAATGATTTATATGAAGGATTTGCAACTTTATTGCTAGAGTAATCATTACTTTTTGAGATGATACATGCTCAATTTAATTCATACAAGTTGTATTGTAAATTACACTCTTCTCAAACCAATTAAAAATAAATTTACAAGATCTTTTTACCGCTTCATGTCAATTAAATCTTATAGATACTCATATTTCAAATATAGAATATGTGTATTCAATTTAATGTAATTTTTCAACAAACCTAATTTTAATCAACAATAAAATGACTCTAAAGATCCTATATCTAATTTTTAAACTCATCAGAGCAGTTGAATATCTATAACCGAAAATAAATATGGTGCCTAATATTAAGATCAATCAAAACTACAACTTAAAATACAAGTATTTATATGATATATTCATAGTATTCTGAATGCAATAGGGAATGAATTTTAAGGATTCTTTTAGTTAAGTTAAGAAATAAGATTATGATTAACTAAGATTTTTTTAATAACCATTGAAAATTGAAAGGTATTGTTCCCATAGCTTGAAAATTTTGAATAATATTGAAAATTTAGATAGTTTTTTAATTATATTAAGAGAAAAAAAATATCAAAAGAAATCTTCATTTTCTATGAATAAATAAGCTTTAAAAATAATTAAGGGATCAAAGAATTTTATTAATGGAAGCATTTTCAGGTGATTCTTATAAAAATTTTCCTGTTCTCAAAACTATTTTAAAGTATAGAGAAAATCACTAGATGTTAAGCTAATATAGAATTTAAAAATTTGAATTGTATGTTCAATATTTTTAGTTTTTGATTAAGATTTCTAATATGTGAGTATACTTGATACATAGCCATAACATGGTAGAGATATGATTCACCCCATTAGAATTTTTAAACTATTCTCCTTTTTGACTAAATAATATAGTTTAATTATCATTTATGAAATCAGATCTTTGTTAAATTAGATCTGTGATTCAAACAATATATGTATATCCTCTATGTTTTTATCTTTAGAGCTTGCGAATTGTACTAAACTCAGAATTGCAGAGTTAATCTATCATCTCATTTGTTATTAGATTCTCAGTCTGTGATAAGCATCTTAAGGAGATTAAATTTATCACTTAACGGAATAGATCTGTCTTATTGCCTATGAAAATATCGAGCTTTGTTAGCATTATATTTGTATCTTTATTTAGATAAAGCCGATGTTTCTTTCTTAAAAGAGCATTAATCAGATCATCCATTGAAATTTTACCATAATAATAAAAAAATTCTTTATTAGATGAATCTAATTAAATGGCTTTTAGATAGTATTATAAAGCATGATTATATTAATAAGTTTATCTTAAACATTCCCCTTAAGATAATTAATAAAAATAAAACCTATTCCAAATTAGACTATTGAATTATTTAAATTTATTGAAATACATTTTTCATAATACTTTTAAGCTTACAAATAAAACTTTTAATTTAATAAGATATCACCTTAATATTATAATTATCAAAATACCCAATTTTTATAAAGATATTTCATGTTTTGGATTAATTGAAATTATTTCTTAGTAGATTTATTATGCATCCTATAACTTATTTAATTAAATTAATGAATTTGCTTAAATTAATAATAATTATTAACCTTTTTAATACATAATTTCTATATTGTAGGGTTCAATTAATAATAATTTATCAAATATTTAAATTGCTTCATTTTATTCATTTTTGATATTTAAAGATATACCTAAAAGAATATAAATATGAATAATAACCTTTTTGATATTCATTTTGATTCAATTTAATCTATTAATCAGTTATTTAATATTAAATTAGATGTAATTCTAATTTAATAAAAAGATCATCTATGGTTTTCTAAAATTTTTATTAAATTCCCTCAAGATTATGTTTCAAATACTTCATAAATTCATCTTATCTAATCAAAGAATCAAGAACTTATTATTTTTAATAAACTTCAAATTAATTTATTTTATTTTCTAATCCACAGAATTTATATTATAAACCAGAAATGAGTTTATTATATGATTTAATTATTGATTGCATTTAAAGTTCACATTCTGAAATGAAACCTTTAGATGATTTTAATTTTTCAATTAAAAATTCATTTAATTCATCAATACTAAAGACATCTCCATTATAATGTTTAATATGTTTATTCTACTTTTGACAAATGAGACAGAAAATTCTATTCTCGTTGCAATCAATTGATTTACACCAAAAAAGTGCAGGCTTTTCAGGATGATCTTTACATTTAAAATCCTATTTCTATTAAAATTATGAGTCTTAATTCATTATTTTATTATTAATTCAATACTAATACACAATTTAAATATATATATATATTATAATAAGATATAATTCACTATGTTCATTACAAAAAAAAATTAAACCATCAAATATTTAATTACTTAGATATACGTTACTCTTTTATGAAGGAAATGAATTTTCATTGTATTTGATATATTGGAACAGATAATTTTAACAATATGAAAATCAAAAGTTTAAATAATAGATATTTGAAGATTATGTTAAAAAAAAAAAAAGGCTTATGTGTTTTGATTTCAAACTTTTTTAACCTATTTGATTTCTAGAATGCTTGTTGATCCTTAGTAGAATCTTAAACCAAAATAAATTTTTCATTAGAATTGATTATCATAGTTATAAAAATTCAAAAATCAACATATTAAACTAATTAGACAAATTTTAAGTTTAGATTTTTAAATTAATACAGCAATATTATATTTTATTTGCTAAACCTTTTAAAGAAAGAATCTAATATTTAGTGAAACAAAAAGTGAAGATTTTCAATTTAATCTTATGCAATAAAGTGAGTTAAAATGTTTTCAATAATTTTCAATTATTTCATAGTCATAAATGAATAATTATCAAATTTAAAGATATAGATCTAATCAAAAATTTCAAACTTTTACTTAAGGCTAATCTATTTACTTTAATTTAGTTTAATAATTAAAGCTTTATCCCTCAGATGGAACTTGAATAAATAAAAATTGACATCATTTAACGTTTAACAAAACCCAAAAAATATAACTTAATCTCATTCATAATATAAAGTTGTTATCTTAGAAAAAATTTCAAACAAAACTTAAAAAATAATGAGTATTATAGTTTATAGATGTATTTAAACAAACATAATAGTTAAAGATAAATATAAAACGAAAATTTGTTCCTATGGTTGAAATCTAAAGCAGACTTAATGTAATGGTTTTGTTTAAAATTTCTCATTCTTTCGATGAAAATATTTTTCTAATCATGAAAGCTTTGAAAATTAGAATAGATTTTTATTCCATTAAAATTGGAGAATACTGATTCTATCCTTGAGATCAAAAATAAAAAATAAACATAATTATTGGGTTAAGCTTAAATAAATAGTTGTTAATAATAATATTTAATTGTTAAGAAATAATAAAATTAAGTATTAAACTTTAAAATATGATAATTGAATACTATATACAAGTTTATTGATTAAAATTTAGCCATCTCAATAGGAAAATTTGAATTCTTTCTGTTAATCATCAACTATAAATTTATAGTAATTACGGCTCCTTCATGGATCTGAACAAAATTAGAGTGTTTATAGACATTAAAAACTATATAACTATTTATTGGGAATTAAAAAAAAAATACTGCCTTACATAATTCAATATTTCTATTGAAGTCATTCCATAAAAAAATGTTATTTAAATTTTGTTCAAGTGACAGAAAAAGGCTTTCATTCAGGATATATGTTTTAAGTAAATAATACTATAATTAACATTAAATGAAAGTCTCTTTCTATTTATGAAATCAAGAGATACGGGAAATTTAGAAAATTGATTTACAATGATATTTTGTAACTTAAGACAAATTAAATGGGAATATAAACTTTATTAATTTTGATTATTTAAAATAAATCAAAAATCAATTCAAAATTAAATTATAATAAATAATAAGTTTTAATCATTTCAACTATGAAACTATTCTAATTTTGTTCATAATTTTAAATCTGCACACAGTTATACAAGTGCCTCTTCAAATTAATTTCAAATATTTTTTCTAAAATATAAATTTATTCCTCACAAACTTATAACAGATCAATAAGTTTAATTTAACTCTGTGAGGTAATGGAACTTAATCACAATATTCTAGAAATCCTCTTTTGTGAATACGAGCATTACTCTATTCTCTTTTGGTTCCCTGTTTGTTATCCCATTATGCATTTAAAATAATAAAGTTAAATTAAATTTTTTTTAATATAACTTATTTCCTCTTCTTAATACCTTCATTAACAAGCATTAGTTCAAGGAATTTCTCTTTCGTTTTAGCAAACCACAAACATTATTTTTTTTAATATAAAGAATCTATTTCAAAATCTACTAATTTCATTCTCTAATATATATCTTCCTCCAATTTCCTATAGTAATCATAGAGTGAAGGATCATGAATTATTTAGTTTCAAAACATCCATTTCCGCAAGTCTTACATTTAACCAAACAATATTTATGTCTTTCACAATATATTTATTCTTAATTTATTTTACTTCCTAATATTTATAGTATTAATTTAAGATACCCTTGATAACTTTTTAAGAAATTTGAAAAGTGAGTGTTAAAATCTAATTTCTCCAATGCAGAATATATTATTTTAGATTTAGGAAGTCAAAGTAGCATTAGAGATGAAAATCTTCTTAATTTCTCCAATTTTTCTTGCGTCTATTTTGTTTTAGTATAAAGATTGGTGATAGATATTAAAAACGATTTCTAAAATAAATATTGCGATCTATTTTTAGGTTTTAACTAAATGATTAACTATTGTTCTCACATGAATTAAAATAAATCTTTTCTTTTCTTATTGGATCATATATGAACATAGATTTATATATCCATTCTAGTATATCTAGATCCCTGTTTTTAAAGTATTAATTTTAATTTTTTTACTCTCTCATAATACCAAATAATCTATCTCTATCAACACAATTGTAAGCATTTAACAAGCAAAATATATAATGAATTAAGGTAGTATATATTCATCTCTAGCTAATAGTTCCTTAATTAGCCTATTAATAGTATAAAAACGTCTCTTATTCGATTCCCATAAATATTTAAGAAGTTATTGTTTAAAGGATTCGAATTAAAAACTTTAAGTATCAAGTCTATTCCATAATAGGCTATTTTTAAATCTAAAAAATATGAAAAGAATTTCTTTCACAGTTAGTTGCACTTCTAGGTATTCCTTTTCAAATATACTCTATTCAATTAAATTAATTAAACAGCATAAAGAATAAATTAA